AAATTAAATGTACGAAAAAATGACGAAGCCCACTCTTCTTCGTTAAATAATAAATTTAATTTCGGTCGTTATATCGCAACTATATTATTAACATTCGTATTAATAACATTAATAATATCTATCATCAACGAAGTACAAATATTCTAATTCATCTCCTTGAAGATTTCAATTGAAGTTAATTCAATCCATATTTATCTCTCGCTAAATTAATTTACGAAAAAATGAAATCAGGTTCCTTTAACCCTTTGCACTCGAGAGGATACTAAGAAGCGACATTACATTTACCATTAGAGGCAACTCTAAGGATATTTTCCAAGACAGTTTAGAGCTCTCAGCAGTGAAACAGTGTGAAAGAACCAACTTTTAATAAAAATATTAGTTTTAAAAAATTACATTAATTTTTGCCACTTCCTTGTAGAGAAAAGGGCCTTCGAGTGCAAAGGGTTAATTCCTCAGGGTTGCTTAGATCACGGCAAATAGCGCCGGAGTCATAGAAATTGCGCAACAAGGGTCAAATTTCTTCCGATTAGAATGGAGGTCCATCAGACCCGAAGAAGTGTCTCTGTCGTCTTAGAACCTTACGCGTAAGTCAGCTTATGCAATTTTCCATTCGTCTCTGAAGACTTAGCAATGTCGTACCGAATCCATCGATCGATACGCTCCTCGTCGTCGAGAAAGTGTCTCGTTGGAAAAAAAAAAGGGGGGAGGGGGGTGGAAAGATCGCCCCGCATTTATTATCAGCGTCGTTTTGTTTCTATCAGGAGGAGATAAATTAAAAAAGATAACGTGACATAACGTAGGCACGTAGCTGTAAGCTGACACCGTGAGCTCATCGTTCTTTCAGCCTGGGAGACGACCGTACCGCCCACTGCGAGACAAAAAGGACGTTCTTCATTTGATGAAACAAGTAGAACAAAACTGGTTTCGCAGAGAATCTCATGCCCCGGGACGCGTTTCGTTTATTTTATAAGGACCCTGATTCGCCTATTCACGCTTTCGTCATTTCTTACGGGCAGCCCTAGCACGAGAAAATAAAACTCGATCATTTGCATACGGTAACTCGATAATTAGAAGAATCTTGATTGAGCAGAATCTGAAGAACCCCGACGGCAATTCCTAAAATAATCTTGCTCTAATTTCTGTCAAAATTGCCGAAGAATTGAAAATGAAAAATGCAAATTGGTAAAAAAATTTTTTCTTCTAAAAAAGGTGAGAATAACAGACGATGAAGTGTTAGTTTTTTTTCGAGGACTGATTACTTTGGTGCATTATGCAAATTGAGATTAACGACACTTTCAGGGGAGAATGTTTTTATTGGTTTTCGTTCGATTGTAATTTTTTCGAGTGGCAGGATTTTTGGAAAATTCTTCGTGTAGTGTTCGATGTAAAAGGTGGATCGGTTGAGAGCCACTGATTGCTTATGTCCTTACTTCTCAGTCGGAGGATCCGCGAAGAGGCGCCACGGGGATGTCGCTGAGCGAGCTGTCCTCTCGTCTTTCAGCCACTCCCATTTTCAGCTACCGAGTTACTGCCACTCTGTCAATCTCACCTGACAGTCGCGTCCAAACGAAGATACACTCCCGACAATGAATAACCCTCTGAGTCGCCATTCACCTTGTTACCGAGAGGAAAAGTTGCATCGCTTGTATCCCACGATATTGCGAACGCGATCAGCCTTGAAAATTAGTTCTACGAACTCGTTGCATACAATTTCAGTGCACTCCCTTTGAGATGAAAGAAAAATAAGCGGCCTTATTTAACCACATAAACGCGAACCTTGCCCCCCTCTGTAACGAATTGCTTTTTCGAAAATGCGATTACCTTCGCAACCGTGGGAGAGGTCTATGAGAAAGGACGATTAGAGCTTAAGTTGCATGCTTGTAAAGAATTCGCCACTGTATTTTGCATGCATCGTAGTTGTTATTATTAGGGAATTTTATGAATATTTAGAGTATTTATTGCAAACGAAGTTCTTCGATGACAGCTCAGAAACGAAGTCTTCTTCCTCATTCTGAAACGCGGAATTTTCCGGTACCACTGTACTTTACATGCACCATAAGTGTAGATAGAGAATATTACGAATAAGATTTAGAGTATCTACTGAAAACGAATTTCTTCGATGACAGCTCAAAAACGAAGTGCTCTTCCTTATTCTGTAACGCGGAATTTCCCTTCATAATTTTCCCACTAACTTTTCCGATACACCCTTCGTAATATGCATAAATTATGCAACCCTTCGAACGATCCCTCTTTCGCTCCAGTAAATTTCACTGTGTAATATCCCTCTCGTAAAAAGCGTGTAGAAAAACAAATAAAAAACAAAATAGAGAAGCAACAACAGCGTGTAGAAATTTCCCATTATTTCCCCCGAATGGCGCTATAAACTCCGTACCGACAATTCGAGGCTCGAGACAATCGCTCCGAAGTCCGTCCCTAGGCGTCTCATTTGAATAAGACAAATGAAGACATCCGGGAGACACACGGCGAGAACGATGAAGCTGATAGGAGAGATTGGACCTGGGGATCACCTACGGTGTGGACCCGGCATCGAACCGTACCGATTGATTACGATCGTTACGAAGACAATGGCGGACACGGGCTTACTCTAACGACGACGGCTCTAACTTAGGAATCAAGGATTACCTTGGATGGGCTGTGCCAACGGTTAACAAGCACCGTGGATCGAGTGTGTTTGTCCCGTTGAAAACTGATCCCCCGGCTACTGCCCACGCCACGCTATCTTTCGCTATTTTTCAGCCGTTCGATCGCCCGATTATACCGCGTTTTATCATGCAAATCGGACCACGAGGTAGAGCGTGGAAAGCAACCGGGTAGATGGGCTGGCGGGAGCCTAACATTCTAACGTCACGCGAGTCACATTATCTCTTTCTTGGTCGTTCTGACGTTCTTTCTCTAATTTTCCGTCTCGTTCTTTCTCCAATTTTGTCATTCTATCTTATGCTGTCTCTCTAATTTTCTTTCTCTTTTATTCTCTCCCTCGTGCTCTCTTTCCAATTTTCTTTCTCTTTCATTCACTTTCCTCTATCATGATCTCTCTCAAATTTTCATTCTCTCTATCTCATGATCTCTCTGAAATTTTCTCTTTCTCTTTCACTCTCCCTTTCATAATCTCTCCCGTGACCACTCTCAAATTTTCTCAGTTTCCTTCACTCTCTCTCAAATTTTTCCTCTCTCTTTTATTCTC